ATTAAAATACTAAACTTTAAAAAATGTTTTAACCCTTAACAAACTCTAAACCTCAAAACTAAACCTTCAAAACTAAACTCTAATACAACATACTTAACCCAAAAATAAATAATATAATGAATAAATAATTTTAGAAAAGTGGCATTTTTGCAAGAATTTTGAAAAATTGGCATTTTTGACAAGTGGCACTCCAAAAGAGGTATTTCTCAAAAAAAAAAAATTTAAAATTGAATCATAATAATAACCAATAACATTAGTCATCTTTATTTTTTAAATTATCTATCAAACCTTTAATCATTTTCTACCAATCAAAAATTGTCTGGGACCGTAAGTTATTTTTTTCACCCATCAAACATTGTTCTGTCCCGCTGTGTTTTACACAAACCGCACTTGATCCGCATATTACTTTTTCTGCATGAACCACACTTGTACTGTACCGCACTATACAATTATCTTACTCGCTCTGCACAATTTCTTGTCACCATTCGGACCCTATATTCCAAATGTCTTGTATGGGTTCTCCATTGTACATTAAGAGCATTTTTCACTGGGAGATGTCTACCTGCAAGCCCAGCCCATCAGGTTTTATTGTCTAAAGCAAAAAAACATTTTGATGCCTTTTAAGTAGGGTTGGGCACAGATATCCGTTACTCGTTCTTTACCCGTTATCCATCTCGTACTCGTCCAGTGGCGAATCCAGAATATTTTTAATTGAGTGCAAGTCAAGTATAAAAAATAAAACTATGAAAACAAAATTATTCCATATGTTATTCTACAAAAGCATCTTGCGATTTTTCTTATTTTAAAATCTTTTCATTGCCATCTCATTTGTAACCGTCTAAAATTATGGTTTAATAGGGTATAATTAGGCAAGTTAAAGTATGGGTTGAGCTTTAGAATTTTTTTTATTGGGGTCAAAGTAAAGAAAATAGGTTGAGATAAAAAAAAATTAGTTTACGGCTTCAAACAAAAAAATATGACTGGTGTCATTATTAAACTCATATTCCTTTTAATAGACTCGTTTATGTACTCGTCTCAAAAATTAGAGTACCCGTAATGTTCAAATCGGGTAAAAAGTACTATAATTTTGATATCCGCGGGTAAGTATCGGGTTAAGGATATCATTTTTTTTTACTACCCGTCTCGTTATCCGTCTTCGTACTTGATTTGCTATCCGACCCGTAAATACTCACATTTTATATTATTAATATTTGATAAACTTAGT